TCTTGGGTTTCCTGCATTGGCAGGCAGAATCTTCACTACTGAACCACCAGGGAAGCCTTTTACCACTGAGTCACCGGGAAGCCCACAAAAAGTACAATCCCACAGACCAGATCCAGTTCACTGCCTTTTTTTTGTAAACAAGGTTTTGTAGAAACTTTCTCAACACAGTGGCAGAACAGAAGAGTTGTGACAGAGACAGTATGGCCCTCAGAGCTGAAAATAGTTCCTCTCTGACCTTTGCCAGAAAAAATCACCCATCCTTTGCCAGACAATCTCCACTTTTCTCACCGTGGAAGAAAGCTGCTAAGTTGTGCAACTGTTCTTTCATTCAGCTAACATTCCTTGAAGGCCCACATGTGCCAGGCAAAGTGTAGTTTGGAAACCCCCTTGGCACATGTGCTTTGGCAGCTATGTTAACACCTGAATCCCAGACTCCTTTCTCTGCTCCGTTCTCTCCTAATGAGGAATCCACACTTCACTGGACCCACGTGGAGTGTGCTCGACAACCAGAACCCACATTCTGCCCAGGTGAGGAATGTGTTTGTCTGAGCTGCCGCTAAATCTTCCAGTCTGCTGGCCCTTCGCCCCTGACCTTGCAGCCAGGTGCTGAGATCTTGAGACGTGGGTGAGGAGACCAATCATCCATAAACACCACTCCTTTTCGGTCATGAGGAACCGTCTCGAATACATTCAGAAATCAATTCCCAGTGTGTTGTGTTTGTTTGCAAAGTTTCTGTTACCATGGTTAAAAATACTGAAATCATTACTTCATTTCTGACAATAAAGCTAAGGGATGAACTATGTAAATCAAGAGATTTTTGGAGAATTTCCATATGACATTTGGGGGCTTACATTGAAGTTCAAGTCTTGTTGCTTTCAGAGCCAGTGCTGTCCTTGAGAAAATAGTGGATTAATCCTGCTTGAGGGAGAAAGAATTCATGTTGCAGCCTGACCCACACTGGCTAATCAGATGTCAGTTCCTGAGGATTCTTTTTCCACACTCTCTCTCACTGGCTTCCTCCTTTGCCCTCCATTGCCTCTCTGCTTGCGTTGGCCTTTATTGGCTTTCCTCAATTCAGGGCCACAGAAGTTCACCGGCCTCCAGGGCCTGAGCTCACATGCTACTGGCTGACATGCAAACCACGGCCAGGTGGAGCCAAGCCCAGAACTGGACTTACTCTCCTGTCCCCAGTTCAATGCTTTTCCCCTGAGTCCCACAGCTGCCTTCTGCAGGACTCTTCCCAGCGTTCTCATCCACTGCTGGCTTTTCTTTGTTTCTGAAGGCTGGACAAAATCCAGTTTAGCAACTGATGCTATTGACTTGGCTACTTAACCTACAAGGATCATAATACTATGATGCTTCCATCTCTACCTATACAGAGAATGGCTGATTTCTCCCTTCATTAGAAAAGAGGCTAGGGATGATTCTATTTTTTCTCTTATCCATAAAGTAATCCTGCAGAGCTTTAGATTCTCTCTCAGTTCTCCGTTTTACCAGCCTGTGGCTTGGTGGATCTGCACACGTGTGGTCTTAAAACCATGTCATCCTTGCATTTCTCTCTGACTCCCACATATCAGTGGCATGACTGCATGGCACCTGCTTGCCAGCCATGGTTGTTTAGCCCTCACCCAGTGAGGTGACACCTCACTGGTGTATTTCAGACACCTGAAATACAGAGTGTCAGACCTGAGAGCTAAAGTCAGTTAGACTCATTGTGAGGCCAAAGAGAAGCATTGAAAAAAAAAAATTCAGCCAAGTAAATTTGAAGATTTAATTGGCTTTATTGGGCTTCCCAGGTGGTGCTAGTGGTAAAGAACCTGCCTGCCAGTGCCAGAGATGGTAAGAGACCAGGGTTCGATCCCTGGGTGGGGAAGATCCCCTGGAGGAGGGCAAGGCAACCCACTCCAGTATTCTGGCCTGGAGAATTCCCTGGACAGAGGAGCCTGGTGGGTTACATTCCATAGGGTCACAGAGTTGGACAGGACTGAAGTGACTTATCACAGCATGCATTCAGCAATTTATGAATCAAGCAGCATCCTGTGTAGTGACTAGATGGCACTCCAAGCACTTGTGCTCAATGAAAGTTTTGTTTTTTTATCAGAGGACAGTTGCTTTACAATTTGTGTTAGTTTCTACTGTCCAGCAAAGGGTACATGTTTGTACGTGTGTGCATATGTGTGCACATGTGTGTGAGTGTACATGTGTGTGTGTCTCTATATGTGTATATATACACCCCCTCCCTCTTGGACCTCCCTCTCACCGCCATCCCAGCCTGCTAGGTCGTCACAGAGCACTGGGCCGCGCTCCCTCTGCTAGGCAGCAGCTTCCCACCGGCTGCCTCTCTCATGCATGGGAGTGTGTGTGTGTTAATCCTGCTCTCCCCGTTTGCCCCACCCTCCCCTTCCGCTGCGGCGACCACATGTATAGGAGCAAGTGTGGGGCAAGGGAACCATCACCCAAAGAAAATACTGTGTTGGAGCCAGGACACCTTTGGAGCTAGAAGGGATTTGCGTGGGTTTTACCATTGTAGATCACCTCTTCTTCTGGAGGATGAAGAGGGCGCCTGTGACAGATTCCCTCACAGGGGCTGACCAGAAACTTCCAGGCTGATCGATTGAGATCACATTTCTGGGGAAGGTCAAAACTGCAGTTAAGTCAGGTTTTAAGTCTAGGCTTGGTAGCATGGGCTTTAGCACCAGTGATGCCACTTCCGGCCTTCTCTTTATTGGAGGGAAGATGATGACAGGAAAAGACACCCTGTACTATCCCAATTAGTGCTCAAGAAACGGGCTTGGGAACTGGGCATACATGGGTGTGAATGCCTCCACTTTGACTGTCAGTCCCTGGACAAGTACTCAATCTCCCCTTGCCTCGGGTTGCCTCCTCTGTGAGACCCCAGTGGTATCTCCCACCCAGAAGGGGTGTATGGGTCAAATCAGGTCTTGAATATCTAAGGTGCTTGTGCAGTGTTGGATCAACTTACTTTGTTGATTTGGAAAAAGAGTGTGAAGAAGTGTCTACTGAAGGCGCACATAGCCTGCTAGCGTGCTAGGGGATATAATGTGATTTTACCCTCGAAAAATAGTGGTAAATCAGATCTCAGCAAACCAGATTATCCTGCTGACAAATGAATTGCATTCCCCTAAGCCACAGACAGAGTAACCACCAGTGAGTCATTTCCCACTCCCATTACCACTCAGAGGAGGGCACAGGAAGAAGACCCATGAGCTTTTGTTCCCACAGTGCCTGTGGGATGAGCCACAAAATAGTCATTGACTGCAGAAACACTTTATTCCCACCACAGATAAACAGCATTTGATCCCTGGCTCCATACAAACATTCACCATGAGGTTATATATTATCTCTTATTCAAACAGCAGAGGCTGTGGAATTGCAATATTAGGTTTCATAAATTAATGTTAATCATAATTATTATTATAGTTAATAATAATGTTAGTAATATATTAATGAGTTTCTTGGGTAACTCAGATGGTAAAGACTCTGTCTGCAATGTGGAAGACCTGGGTTCAATCCCTGGGCTGATTAATGTTCATTATAATACAGTCATGATTAATAATTTCATAAATTAATGTGAAAATATCATCTAATTTTTGGCAAGCAAAGCTTCTGTTGTATACTTAATATCTCTGCCTACATATTACATGAGGTTGAGTGTGTAATATCCCTACAGAGTCCTGGAACAGCACTCTAAATAGGGCTGTGACTGCTTGTTCTTATTAATGTACTAGCTAGTATATAAACTCAATGTTTATTCTTATCTTTAATACATATTATAGTGAGCACACACACACACACATGTCCTCAGTGTATGGGTTCATTTTTTAGGATGAACCATCGTGTGTGTGTGTGTGTGTGTGCGCGCGCGCGCGTGTATGCACACACGCTCAGTCATATCCACCTCTTTGCAACCCTGTGGACTATAGCCCACCAGGCTTCTCTGTCCCTGGCATTTTCCAGGCAAGAATACTGGAGTGGGTTGCCATTTCCTTCTCCAGGGGATCTTCTGACCCAGGGACTGAACCCGTGTCTCTCGTGTCTCCTGCACCGGCAAGCAGGTTCTTTACCGCTGCCACCACCTGGAAAGTTCAGGATGAGCCACTATATCTAACTGAGGATAATATTCACTCTTGAGATTCTAAATGTCTGTTCCTATTATTCCTTAATGGAGACTGCCAGCCATGTCAGGGAAGACTGTTTTATAGTGGAAAAGAACAATAATTTTTAAAATACAGGACAAAAAGTAAATTGGTTCCCTCTACCCTTAGGATCGCTACCCAAAATCCTAGCATGGGTATTTAGGTGAATGACGTAGTGATAACCAACAGATTATGTCTGAGAGACTTAGGAGATAAAATAGCATGCAGGGTAATTTTCAGATCAGTTTGTTCCGAACAGCAGCTTGGAGTTCAAGGCCTACCCAGGCCTAATTTACAAATCTTAAGAGTGCAGATACAGTCTGTGGCCTAACCAGCCTGCTAACCAAAGCTTCTCAAAAAATATTTTAAAGTCAATTCATTAGGTAGAAACCCAAACATGTTGAAATTATAAGGGTTTTTATTGGGGTAGAGGAGTTAGAGACAAGTATTTTTAAAAACCACAGAATTTATGCATGAATATTGGCAAAAAAAGAAAAAGTCAATCTGTAGATGAAGTCTTTCTGGCAAGACAACACCACCCAGGCAGGCAGTGCAGGGTGGGCAGCATAGAAAATTAATACAAAGCCACGATCAAAAAATCAAACACTAAATCTTCATAGAAAAAAACACAACCAATGAATGCAGTAGGGCTTTAGATATTTTTTTCTGTATGCAGACGGGAGAAGCCAATCAAAATGTCTAGGCACAAAAACACCAGTATCCTTGTTCTAAAAGAAAAAAAAAAAAGGGCACATTATCACTAACAATTCTATGAAGTTTCTGTGAAGAATGTTTATCACATTTTAGCTATCTATTTATTCTGTCATTATCTCTGCTCACAGGGGTCAAGCAAGTCCCACTGCCATCTGGTGCTGGTAGAAATGTAACAGTGGATTCTTCTCACCCCACAAAAAAACCAGGTAAGGAATAAGCAGCTGACTCCCTCACTCAGTTCTGCTCTGAAACTTGTAGCTGCAAGTTATATGTGCTGCTGCAAAACAAGTAGCATGCTCACAGTCCCCAAAGCATCAGATCCATGCTAACAATACCTGGGTATTGCTAGATAAACATACTAAACTCTTCGGGAAAATGAAAAGTGCTTTGTGCATAAATTCTAATGAGCAACTGATTTAATAATTACTTCACATAATGGCCTGAGGGCCACAGTGGAGCAAACGCTGAAAAGTAACTGGATTCTAGTTTTCATCATATACAAGTTTTCCTCTTATGTAGTTTATTATAATATCCTTTTGCCAGAAATGATTCATATTTCTACTTTGAGACTGTTCTGTATATAATAGGCCAAAATTATGAAGTGGTAATATCTTTGCATTGAATAAGAGCTCTGTGCTTTGTAGAAGGATGCTGTGGAACCTACTCTGATCTATTAATGTCTGGGTGAGACATCTCTATTCTATCATCACGACTCACTCCTCCCTACCCCCAGCATATGCACATTCATGCATGCACATGCACAATTCCTGATATCCCAGGAAGTACTTAAAGTCACAGGGCATTTTCTTGGATTGTCAATTTTGCTTGAAGATTATTAAACCAATACATTATGCAAGGAAAGAGATAAATTTTTAAGCTTATAACACAGGACTTCAAAGAAAATTTGGGTTAAGGTGGACTGCTTCAGGTAACTTTAGCCTTGTCAGCCTTTGTGCAGATTATAAAAAGATTTCTCTCCTCTCTGCCCTTCAGGCAAACCATTTAGAAAAACGTGCCTTTCCTCTGGGTTGGCGTCCTTGTGTGAAGGCTCATGGGTGGGTGAGAGAGCGGAGTGGGTGGGAAATTTTGGCTCCCACTTACAGCTCCCGGGCCAGGTGCCCTTGTGTGGTGACTCTGGTCTGCATGGGGCACAGGCTTACTGCATCTGCCATTAGGACTACTTTGTTGTAATCATTTGAGAAGTTCTAAAATTGTTGGTTTAGTTATAATTACGTAATATAGTTGGAGGATGGAGTGGAACACCTACTAAGGGAGAAATTAAATGCTTTACCAGCTCAAAGAAAAAATGGTATAAGAATTGTAGTCTGCAAAGCAAAGGCAGTTGGCGACAATGAAGCTCAGAAATGCTCCTGTTGAATCTATATGAGAAGCAAAAGATGTTAAATTCTGTGCATTCGTACAGCTTTTCAAAGGGCAGGTTTACTGATATATTTTTATCCATAATCAGAGAATATTTTCCCCATTAACTCATCTGCTTTATTATCCCTGGGTACATTACAAGCACTAATTTAGAAGAACATCAGAAAGTATTACTCACAGGCACTTTTCTGTAGAATCTATTCTCTGTCATCCAACTGCCACTTGTCAAATATTGTATTTTTTTAAAAAACCTGTGATTTTATCGAGTGAATCCTTAGGACCACTTAATCTGTAATATTGTCTCTTAGCCATAATCCCAGGTACTCGTCGCCCACCCCTGCCACCCAGACCCATGCCCCCACGAAGAAAGCCTTTACCACCCAACAATGTCACCGGAAAGCCAGGAAGTGCAGGTATGTCGGCCACACACCTTCGCTATCCCTCCTTGAATTCCCTTTTGCTGGTCAACCACAAGCCCTTGGTGTGCTAGCTCAAGCAGCAGACAGCTCTGGGACGCATGACTGTGTTGGCCCCAAAGACCAGACACTGTCAGTTACAACTTTAAGGACTCCTGTCCTGACTCTGGGTGGGTGGGGTGACATCCACCATCCTTGTCCATCTAGGTCAGGTTGCTTCTCAGACGCTGGGTGCTTGGTGCTGCGATGGAAGCTGTCACAAGCCCTTCAACAAATGGATTGTCTTGCACAAGACGTTTTGTGCTGCCAATCCACCAATCTCCTCCACTTAACATTCTGTCTCTTGAGATGAAATCATTTACCTCTCCTTGATAGCTCCCCTGTCCACCAGCCTTCATGCTGACCTCAGTATTATGGTTCCAGGGGAAAGACTGCAGACTGGAATGCTCCTGGTGACTGAGCAGGTCTGGTCTATGCAACAAGGCAGACTGTGGCATGCGTTGTCTTCTTCACATAGAATGACCTCTCCCAGTCACCTGGGACACTCGTACTCCATCCTTGTCTTAAAGAAGCCTTCTATAACTCCCCAAAGTAGACTTAACACTGCTTATCTGTCCTATTTCTCCTTGAAACATACCTCTGTTAGAGCAAACCTCTGTTTTAGACCTACTTGTTCATGTCCTTGTATTCCCCTACTAGATCATGAGCTCTGTGATGACAGATGACACTTTCTCTGAATTTCCAGAACCAAATCCAGTCCTTACTGAGTGAATCTAGTAATCATTGAGTGAATCTATGAGTGAAATTAAGAATCAGTGAGCCCAGTTCAGAGCAAAGCTTCATCTCACTCCTCTTAAAGGCTGTTCCACTGGACCTGCCAGCAGATCACAGCATGTTCTCCATCTTCCCCCCCCCCCCCTTCCCTCATGTCTATCTCCTAAATATTCTGTAGTGGGAATCAGGATAACACTGTTAGGTACAACTGTGGAAGATGAAGCTGATAAGGATTTATGAGAAAGGGCATGGATGTCACTCTTTTCACAGTATGAAAGGAGGATGTGGTGGAGAAGCTTCCGTGATGTACTAGGGGACAGCGGCCTCTGGGTTGTTTTCCCATCAGCTAAAGGAGGAATCAGCCTATCATCCATGTTGCTGGTGCCTGCCTGAGTCAAGGTCTAGGGACATGGCCCCAGTGAGGAGACCAGGTTTTCTTCGTTAATTGTAACCTGGGGCAGCTGAGACTTGAACTTCTGTAGCTTTCAGGTCAGACTGAAAGTGATGCTCCAGGGTCCTCCACGGAAGAGTCAGGGGAACCTCCCCGCACAGAGCTCTCCTGCAAGGCTGTGTGTCTCCAGCTGCAGCTGCGTGGCCCTGGCTCCTGCCACGTAAAAACTTGTTCACTCCCATCAATAAGCGTAGTTTGGTGTAACTCATCCAGCCGGTGGGATGGTATAAACACATCCCACTTCTGAGATTAACTCTGGTGCCCTCCCCACCCTTTGCTACCCATCTCTAATTCAAAAGAAATGTCTACATTGAGGAAAGAAAGCGAAAATGTTAGTGGCTCATTCGTGTCCTACTCTTTGCGATCCCATGGACTATAGCCGGCCAGGCTCCTCTGTCTGTGGAATTCTCCAGGCAAGAATCCTGGAGCGGGTTGCCATTCCCTTCTCCAGGGGATCTTCCTGACCCAGGAATTGAACCCAGGTCTCCCACATTGCAGGCAGATTCTTTACAACACATCTAGCCTGATGACCATCACAGAAAGTGCATATGGAATTCAAGAAATCAGTTCAGTGTTCTGGGAGTTCTCTGAAAACATGCCTTCTCGCACATGTGCCTCTGAGCACAGTCTTAGGCTCCCCGAGTCATCTCTACCTGTCCGCCATCTCCAGATCTACTGGGGCCTCTCAGTCCTGCTCTCCTTGCCAGGATGAAAATACCATCCCAGCATTTCCTGCTGGCTCTGCCCACTCAAAAAATCCCCTGCTGGCTGCAGTGCAGCATCTCATGGCTTGCACTCATCCTCTCACTGGGGCCCACCCCCACCAGGACCTGGGGCCCATCACCCATGAGTTCATGCTGGGCCTCAGTCCGTGCATCAGTCCTTACTCTTTGACTCTCTATCATCTGAGGACAATTCCTTTTCCCATGAAGACTGTAAAAGCTAATCCAGCTTCCACTCTACGACAGACTGTAGCTCAGATGGTAAAGAATCTGCCTGCGATATAGGAGACCTGGGTTCAATCCCTGGGTCAGGAAGATCCCCTGGAGTAGGGAATGGCTACGCACTCCAGTATTCTTGCCTGGAGAATCCCTTGGACAGAGGAGTGGTGGGCTACAGCCCATAGAGTCACAGAGAATCAGACACAACTGGGTGACTATCACTACTACTAGCCTCCACTCTGTTCCACCCATATTTGCGTAGACCTTGGGATGGATCCTGTTTTGGAGACCTACATGTGTTTTTAGAGTGGAGGAGACGTTATTGAATACAGCATCTCAGAGTAACACTGGTCTGGCCACTAGGCCAGAACCAGTCATTAACTTATAAACCTTTTTCTTCTTCCCCCGCCATCTCCCATGCCTATCATTTAATCTGTAGTTGGCCACTCCATCCTCTCGACATCTTTCATGTAAAACCCCTTCCATCCAGTCTCACCGCTTTTTACGTAGTTCTCTGTCCTTACCTACACAACTGCTTTAGTTCTTGATTTCTCAGTCTGCCACCAGCCTTGCAGCCTAGCTTGCTCACTCTCTCCTTATCTGATCATGTTACTTCCCTAGCGAAAAATTTTTAATGGTCCCTTGTCATCTAAAAATAATATCTAAATCCATGGTATGCAAGGCCCTCCATGAACTGCCCTTCCCTGCCCGCCCCCCATTCTGCTCTCATTGCCTCCAGGCACTTGGCTCTCACGCCTTCAAATTCAACATGCCACATGACTTTATGCTTCCCTGATTGTGTTCTTCCTGTAAACTCCACCTAGAATACAGCTCTCATGCCTGCCTTACTGATCACTTTCCCTCTTTGTTGGCACACCCTCTAGGAAGGCATTCCTAACTTCACCCCAGCATCCATCCATCATTTTTCCCTATAGACTTGTCTTCTCTGAGAGCTTGTCTTATGCTTTCGCAATATTTATAATGCTTCAGTATAATTTGGCTCAAATATATCTCCCAATCAATCAAAGACAGCAGGTCTTATTTTCTCTCTAATCCTGGCATATAGTGCCAAGTCACATGGTAATTGCTTAATAAATATTTGTTGAATAGGTAAATGCAGAACTCTGGCAGGGCTCCCTACAAAGCCTGACTCCTTTGGCTCTGCATTATAGGAATCATTTCGTCAGGCCGAGTAACTTCCCCACCCTTGAGGGCAACACTCAGACCTACAGAAGCTCCCTTGGAGACAATGGAGACAGATAAAAAGCCACCGACAGTTCCTGCCTCAGAAGAAGATCTTGGTGAGTATGTCAGTCGGGTCCCACTGGATGCTTAGCCACAAAGTACCAAAGGATTTCAAATTAGGGAGCAGAGAGTCCCAGTTTTGGATCAGTACGTTTTACTCAATTTTATGATTGATAGGGACATTTTAATTTAAAGTTACACTTACTTCTAATGACTTACTGTGGAATGTGCTCCTTTCCTTTGCAGACATAGAAGGAAGTGTCAAGATCTTTAATAAAGTCTTCCTCAAAAGATCCAGATTTCCCAGTCCTTATTCCTAAATCACATGTCATTCCTAATCACACATAACTTAATATATGAATGTGTATTAGCTACTCGGTTGTAATCTTTGGTGGCGGTGGTTTGGTCGCTAAGTCGTATCTGACTCTTGCGACCCCATGAACTGTAGCCTGCCAGGCTCATCTGTCCATGGGATTCTCCAGTCAAGAATACTGGAGTTGGTTGCCATTTCCCTCTCCAGGGGATCTTCCTGACCTAGGAATCGAACCCTGTGTCTCCTGCATTGTAGGCAGATTCTTTACTAACTAACCTACAAGGGAAGCCCAGTTGTAATCTTTAAATCATTTATTACTCTGCAGAACATCTGCAGCAGGGCACAGTTAAAGGCCTTGAAATGTGAATAATATGGGTTATAATAATATGGAAATTAAAGCTGCAAGCAATTGACCAGGAGACATCATAAATATTTATAGCCTTTACTACTTTTTCATTGTATCATCCATCCTCAGATAACATGACTGACTTTAGCTCAAGTCCAACAAGAGAAACTGATCCTCTTGGGAAGCCCAGATTCAAAGGTACGTATGATCAGCTACAAATCTTACTTTTAAGAAAGTTATCTTTGGTGGGTATATTAGTCAATTCTTGCTGTGTAGTAACTACAAAATCTTAGTGGCATATTCTTTTTTTAATTTTTTTTTATCTTACTTATTTATTTTTGGCTGTGTTGGGTATTCTTTCCTGCACGAGCTTTTCTCTAGGTGCGGCAGGCAGAGGCTCCTCTCTAGTTGCAGTGAAAGAGCTTCTCATTGCAGGGGCTTCAGTTGTTGCAGAGAATGGGCTCTAAAGGCACACGGGCTTCAGTGGCTGTGGCCCAGGAGTCGTGGTGCATGAGCTTAGCTGCCCCGTGGCGTGGGGGGTATCTTCCTGGATCGGGGTTTGAACCTGTGTCCCCTACATTGGCAGGCAGATTCTTTACCACTAAGCCATCAGGAAAGCCTAGTAGCATATCCTATTTCTCATGTGTCTACAAGTCACATGGGGTCAGCTGATTTAGGATGTGCTTAGCTGGGTGATTCTGTTTCTAGCAGCAGGTACAGCTGGGTCTCTTATGGGTTAGGCTGAGGTCTGCTCCACATCTGTTCATTTTGGTACCCAAGATGAAAGACTAACAGTGACCCAGGAGAAGCCATTCTCCTAACAATACAAAGTAAAGAGAGAAGGAGTCCAGATATACAACAACATTTCAACCTCCTTGTGTTATACCTGCAACTATTCAATGGCAAAAGAAATCACAGAGCTGAGCTCAAATCAAAGATAGGGGAAACATACTCTTTCCATCACTATAGAGAATATTTTTGAACAGTAATCTAATCTACCAAAGTAAAAGATATTATATGATATAGACCAGTGTTTCCTTTGTGATCTGTTTTTCTGAAGTATAAAATTTGATAAATTTTAATATATATATATATTCATGCAACCATCGTCACAGTCAAGATAATGAGTACCTCAGTCAGTTCAGTTGCTCAGTCGTGTCTGACTCTTTGCGACCCCATGAATCGCAGCACGCCAGGCCTCCCTGTCCATCACCAACTCCCGGAGTTTACTCAAACCCATGTCCATCGAGTCGGTGATGCCATCCAGCCATCTTATCCTCTGTTGTCCCCTCCTCCTCCTGCCCCCAGTCCCTCCCAGCATCAGGGTCTTTTCCAATGAGTCAACTCTTCACATGAGGTGGCCAAAGTATTGGAGTTTCAGCTTCAACATCAGTCCTTCCAATGAACACCCAGGACTGATCTGCTTAAGGATGGACTGCTTGGATCTCCTTGCAGTCCAAGGGACTCTCAAGAGTCTTCTCCAACACCACAGTTCAAAAGCATCCATTTTTCAGTGCTCAGCTTTCTTCACAGTCCAACTCTCACATCCATACATGACCACTGGAAAAACCACAGCTTTGACCAGATGGACCTTTGTTGGCAAAGTAATGTCTCTGCTTTTTAATATGCTGTCTAGGTTGGTCATAACTTCCTTCCAAGGAGTAAGTGTCTTTTAATTTCATGGCTGCAGTCACCATCTGCAGTGATTTTGGAGCCCGAAAAAATAAAGTCTGACACTGTTTCCACTCTTTCCCCATCTATTTCCCATGAGGTGATGCGACCAGATGCCATGATCTTAGTTTTCTGAATGTTGAGCTTTAAGCCAACTTTTTCACTCTCCTCTTTCACTTTCATCAAAAGGCTTTTTAGTTCCTCTTCACTTTCTGCCATAAGGGTGGTGTCATCTGCATATCTAAGGTTAAAATGAGTACATGCAACACCTCAAAAAGTTTCATCATGTACCTTATAATCCCCCCTCGTCACTTCTCCCACCTAACCCCTCGTCTCAAGGTAACTATATTACAGATTGTTGCTGTTGTTTTTCAGTCACCAAGTCATGTCCAGCTCTTTGCCACCCCATGGACTGCAGCATGCCAGGCTTCCCTGTCCTTCACTGTCTCCTGGAGTTTGCTCAAACTCATGTCCATCGAGTCAGTGATGCCATCCAACCATCTCATCCTCTGTCGCCCCCTTCTCCTCCTGCCCTCATTCTTTCCCAGCATCAGGGTATCTTCCAGTGAATTGGCTCTTCATATAACGTGACCAAAATATTGGAGCTTCAGCATCAGCCCTTCCAATGAATATTCAAGGTTGATTTCCTTTAGGATTGACTCATTTGAACTCCTTGCTGTCCAAGAGACTCTCAAAATTCTTCTCCAGCACCATAATTCGAAAGCATCAGTGCTTTGGCACTCAGCCTTCTTTATAGCCAACTCTCACATCCATACATGATTACTGGAAAAACCATAGCTTTAACTAGATGGACCTTTGTCAGCAAGGTAATGCCTCTGCTTTTTAATATGCTGTCTAGGTTTGTCATAAGTTTTCTTCCAAGGAGCAAGCATCTTTTAATTTCATGGCTGTAATCACTGTCTGCAGTGATTTTGGAGCCCAGAAAAATAAAGTCAGCCATTGTTTCCACTGTTTCCCCATCTATTTGCCAGGAAGTGGTAGGACCCAAAGTCATGATCTTAGTTTTTTGAATGTTGAGTTTTAAGCCAGCTTTTTCACTCTCCTCTTTTCACTTTCATCAAGAGGTTCTTTAGTTCCTCTTTGCTTTTTGCCATTAGAGTGGTATCATCTGCATATCTGAGGTTGTTGATGTTTCTTCCAGCAATCTTGATCCCAGCTTGTGATTCCTCCAGCCTGACATTTCTCATAATGTACTCTGCATATGAGTTAAATAACAGAGGGACAATATATGGCCTTGATGTACTGTTTTCCCAATTTTGAACCATTCCATTGTTCCATGTCCAGTTCTAACTGTTGCTTCCTGACCTGCATACAGATTTCTCAGGAAGCAGGTCAGGCAGTCTGGTATTCCCATCTCTTTAAGAATTTTCCATGGTTTGTTGTGATCCACATAGTCAAAGACTTTAGTGGTCAATGAAGCAGAAGTAGATTTTTTTCTAGAATTTTGTTGCTTTTTCTGTGATCCAAAGGATGATGGCAATTTGATCACTTGTTCCTCTTCCTTTTCTAAACCCAACTTAAACATCTGGAAGTTCTTGGTTCACCTACTGTTGAAATCTAGTTTGAAGGATTTTGAGCATTACCTTGCTAGCATGTGAAATGAGCACAGTTGTATGGTAGTTTGAAAATTCTTCAGCATTGCCTTTTTTGTGATTGAAATGAAAACTGACCTTTTCCAGTCCTGTAGCCACTGCTGAGTTTTCCAGATTTGCTGTCATATTGTGTGCAGCACTTTAACTGCATCATCTTTATAGACTAGTATGCATTTTTGTAATTTCACACAAAAGAAAATAATATATTATGAACTTCCTTTCTGATTTCTTTTACTTTTCATAACTATTTAGTGGCGCATCCATGTTGGTATATGTATCAACAGTCTATTCCTTTTTATTGCTTATGAGTATTCTATTGCATAGATATATAATAATTTATTAAAACTTCATGACACTTGGGTTGTTTCCAGCATTTTTATATTACCAGTAAAGTATGCTATTCTATGACCATTCATGTACAAGTCTTTGTGTGTGCTTTCATTCTTTTTGGACAAATTGCTATAAGGGGAATGGCTAGATTGTATGTAAGTGTATATTTAATGTTTTAAGGAACTGTCAAACTGTTTTTCACAGCAGTTGTACTGTTTTGCCTTTCTGTCAGCAGCGTATGAGGGTTCCAGTTCCTCCACATCTTTTCCAATGCTTAGTATGGTCAGCCTTTTTAATTTAAACCCTTTAAAAAAGTATGTAGTAGTACCTGTGATTTTATTTTGCATATCCCTAACGATGAAGGATGCTGAACATCTTTTCACGTCCTTATTTGCCATCTGTATATCCTTTTTGATATGTCTCTTTCAATTTTTCTGTATCTTTATTGTGTTGCTTATTTTCTTATTATTGAGTTTTAAGAGTCTTTATATTTTCTGGGTTGAAGATCTTTTTCAGGTACATGTTTTGCAAACATTTTCTCCCTGTGTGTCTTCTCTTTTAATTTTAATGAAGCTTGGTTTATTGATTTGGTTTTTTATAGATTGCCTCTTTGGTGTTACACTTAAGAAACCATTGACTAATCAGAGATCACAAAAAGCTCCTCTGTTCCCTTCTAGAAATTTCTCCTCTGTTTCCTTGTAGAAGGTTTCTACTTTTACATTTAAGTCTATAATCCATTTTGAGTCAAATTGTGTATATGATACAAGATATGAATGCAAGTTTATTTTCTTAAGGATATCAAATTGTTCCACCATATTTGTTGAAAAATTATTGTTCCTTTAATTTGTACCTTTGTCAAAAACCGGTTGTCCATATATACCTGGAACTATCTAGGTATTCTATAGTTGTTCCATTGATCTATTTAGCTACCTTTCCATCAATACCGCAGTGTCTGGATCACTGTGGTTTTATGATAAGTGCTGCAACCAGGTTGTGTTAGTTCTCCAACATTGGTTGGTTGTTTTTTTTTTTTTCCATTTATTTTTATTAGTTGGAGGCTAATTACTTTACAATATTGTAGTGGTTTTTGTCATACATTGACATGAATCAGCCGTGGATTTACATGTATTCCCCATTGTTTTTATTTCTCTAAAGTTTTGGTGGTTCTAGGTCCTTTTGTATTCCTAGCTAAATCTCAGGATGAATTTATCAATGTCTAAAGAAAAATAGCCTGCTCATATTTTTATTAGAATTTCATTGAATGTGCAGGTCAATCAGAAAGCATTGACAGCTGTACACTACTGTCCTCCTACTTATGAACATGGTATATATCACCATTTATTTAGGTATTCATTTCTCCTACCAATGATTTTTAGTTTCAGTGAAGTAAAACATAAGAGTAGCATTTTAAGTTTCAGTTTCCTCTTGTTCATTGCTAATATATATAAAAACAACTGATTTTTTAGTACAGTTATCTTATATTCTACAATCTTGCAAAGTTCTGTAGATTTTTTTGTAGATATGCTGGGTTTTCTATATACAGAACTATGTCATCTAAGAGGAAGGTTTTACTTCCTCCTTTCCAACCTGAGTACCTTTTTTCTTGCTTTTCTATACTGGCTAGAATCTCTAGAAAAACACTGAATTGAAAGTGAAGATTGATATCTTTTCCTTATTTGTTATCTTATAGAAAAACCATTTAGTCTTTCACCACTAAGTATGTTGTTACCTGTGGTTTATTCATAGATGTCCTTAGTGAGTTGAGAAAGTTCTATTCCTGCTCCAGTGAGAATTGTTAGCAGAAATGAATGCTAGATTATGTCTAATGATTTTTCTGGCTTTATTGAGATAATTATAAGGTTTTTCTTTTTTTTTTTTTAGTGTGTTAATATGATAATGTAATTGTCCTTGAATTGTAGATTAATTTTGCATTCCAAGGACAAATTCCCCTTGGTTATAGTGTATTCTTAATTTAATATATCATTGATTTAATTCCCTTAAATTTTGTTTAGAATTGTATTCCGTGAGGGATATTGGGCTGTTATTTTCTTTTCTTGTAAAATCTACTCAAGTTTTAGTGTCAAAATAATACTGAACTTTTCAATTTTCTGAAAGTGTTTGGAATTAGTGTTGCTTCTTCCCTAAATATTTGGCAGTATTCACCAGTAAAGTGATCTGAGCCTCACATTCTCTTTGTGAGAAGTGTTTTACTTTTAATTCATTTTAATTGGAGAAGGAAATGGCAACCCACGCCAGTACTCTTGCCTGAAAAATTCCATGGATGAAGGAGCCTAGTAGGCTACAGTCCATGGGGTTGCAAGGAATTGGACACAACTGAGCTACTTCACTTTCTTTTCTTTAATAGGTATAAGATTATTCAGTATACTTTCCTCCATAGTGAGCTTTCATAATTTTTGTCTTTCAAGTTATTGGTCTATATCATCTAAGTTGTCAGATTTATTTCACTTTCTTTTATTTTGATATCTAAATAATCTGTAATGATGTCACCTCTCTCTTTCCTGTTATTGATAATATGTGCCTTTTTTCTCTTTCACCTAATCAGCCACACTGTAGGTTTATCAGTTCTTTTGATCTAAAAAGTTCAATTTGGGGTTTCATTTATTTTGTGTATTATTTTTCTGTTTTCCATTTCATTTATTTTTATTTTGATCTTTATTATTTCCTTTTTCTGCTTAGTTTGACTTTAATTTGCTCTTCTAATTTCTTAAGGTTCAAGATGATTTGAGACCTCTCTTCTTTTTAAATATGAAATTCAGTGGTGCATTTTTCCTAGGTATTATTCAAGCAACATCTAAAAATGTTTGATATACTGTGTATTCAGTTTTACCCTATTCAAAATACTTTTAAATTTCCTTTTGGTTTCTTCTTTGGCTTATTAGAAGTAGGTTACTTAATTTCCAAATATTTCAAGATTTTCAAGAGATTGTTCTGTTACTGATTTTTATTAATAACTCCATTGTTGTTATATACTCTGTTTTTCCTGAGTCATTTTAAATTTATTGAGACTTTTTTATGGCCCAGAATATAGTATATCTTGGTGTGTTTGTGTATACTTAAAAAGAATGTGTATCTTCCTAGTCTTAAGTGGAATAATGTATTAGTTTACTAGGGCTGCCAAAACAAAATTCTATAGACTTTGACTTAAGCAACCAAAATTTATTCTTTCACAGTTCTGGAGGCCAGAAGCCTTGTTTCAAGGCATTATCAGGTTTGATTTCTCATATTGGAAGTTAAATCTTCAATACAGGAATTTTAGGAAAACATAATTCAGTCCATAACAAGTGTTTTATAAAAATGTCAATTAAGTCAATTTGCTTGGTTATATTGTGCAATTCTTTTATATCCTTTGTGATTTTCTATCAACTTGTTCTACCAGTTAATGAGAGAATACCAAAATCTTTAGCTCTAATGTAGATTTATTTCTACTTTCTTCTTCTGTCATTTCCCACCCCCTCCCCAACCCCAGCTCCAGGTATACTAAAGGTCTGTATTCAGGTATAGACCTCAATTACTTAGGATAAACTCATGAATTGATTCTTTTATCATTATAAAGTGACCTTTTTTATGGTAATATTCTTTGATGAATAAACTCATGAACTGATTCTTTATCATCATAAAGTGACCTTTTTTTATGGTAATATTCTTTGATGAAATGGTTCGGTTTAAATCTATTATCATCTTGCTATTGTTTTTAATTTGTTCCATCTATTCTTTTTTCCCTCTTTCCTTCTTTTTCAGCCTTCTTTTGGGCTGAATATTTTTATGATTCCATTTTACCTTTTTTGTTGTCCTCTTAGCTATACCTTTGTTTTGTTATTTTAGTGAATAATTTGGTGTTCCTAGAATGTGTCCTTAACTTCACAGTCTACCTTCTGGTGATATCCCACAACTTCATAAACAGTTGACTGTGAAGTATAAGAGCTTCACATTAGCATAGCAGCTTCTCTTTCCTGGCTGTTGGGCTATTACTTTACTTTCGCATGTTATATAGATCACACTAAATTGGAATTATTTTTGTTTAAACAATAAGCCATCTTTTAGAGAGAATTAAATAGTAAGATAAACAGTATGGATATTTACCTTTATAGTTACCGTCTCCAGTGCTGCTCATTCCTCTGTGTGCTGCCGTATTTCCATCTGGCATCATTTTCCTTCTGCCTAGAGGACTTCTGTGAATCTTCCTTATAGGTTGGGTGTGCTAGTCGTGAATTCTTTCAGCTTTTGTATGTCTAAAAAATATTTTGCTTGTTTTTTAAAAGATATTTTCACTAGTTATAGAATTCTAGATGATAAGGTTTTTTTGTTGTTTTGGTTTTTGCTCTTTAATATATAAGGACATCTCTCTGTTGCCTTCTCACTTGCTTTCTTTACGATGAGAAATCTGCCACAATCCTTCTTTGTTGTCCTAACATGGCTTTTCTTCTCTGCTCTCTTTGAAGATCTCTAGAAATTCAATTTAGGTCTTTTTTTATATCTTCCATTTCTTGACTTTTTGACCATGTGGATTATAGTGATAACGGTTTTATTATCCTTGTCTGATGATTCTAACATCTATGGAGGTTACAGTTTGACTCCAGATGATTTATTTTTCTCTTTATGGGTAATATCTTCCTGTAAGGAATTTATCCAGTTGGGTGCTGTATATATTTGTTATTCCTAAAATATTGTTGGATTTTATTCTGGGGTGCAATTAAATAACTTAAAACTACTTGATCTTTCTGAGCCTGGCTTTTAAGGTGTATTGGTAGGACCAGAACTATATTTTAATGTAAGGCAAATCATTCCCCACTACTGAACCAAGATCCTTTTGAGTACTCTTTTCAATACCCCATAAATTATGCAGTTTAAACCAAATTACTTTGGTTTTAGCATAAGCTAAACCTATTTAGAAAATTAACTCAATAGTATCACCCGTATCATGTATCCCAAAGAGAGGGTTCTGGATTTTCACAAATTGAAACCATCCACATCACTGCTTTCATCCATCTGCTGATAGTACTAGATCAAATATCCTCAAACAGATTGTTTTACTTATGAGTTCTCCTCCACCTTTTTTACAAGCTCACAAAAACCAAAATGCTCAATGTCCTCTCTCTCTTAGGGCCTCACGTGCGGTATATCCAAAAGCCTGACAACAGCCCCTGCTCCATCACCGACTCTGTCAAGAGATTCCCCAAAGAGGAGGCCACAGAGGGGAATGCCACCAGCCCACCGCAGAACCCACCCACCAACCTCACTGTGGTCACTGTGGAGGGGTGTCCGTCCTTCGTCATCCTAGACTGGGATAAGCCGCTCAACGACACTGTCACAGGTAAGAGCGTGGCGTGCGGACCACTGCCACGGTGGGAGGCATTAATGAGATGATGCTCTGGGAACGTGGTACCTTAAGTCAGACTGTGACCCTGGGTGATGCATCTCAGGAACAGCAGGTCCCTGCAGAGTTCTGCTGTCTCTGTGGCAGATGATTTTCAAAAGTGCCAGAAGATGGGGAAGGTAGTCTTTGTCCTGGTTATGGTCTCACTGTTAACCTAGCAGATCTCTTTAAGTTATATATCTTCTTTCTCCTCTCAGAATGTTTTCTCAATGGGAAGGTATATCTAGTCTTTTCATTATCAGAAAATTACAAATGACATATGAGAAGTTGCCACTGCTAATAGTATTTAAATCAATTTTCCTTTCACCATCCCAATTTCTAGATTGACCTAGAACTGTGAAGCAGGCTAAACATTATTTCAGTCATTTTATGAGAGTTTTTTTTACTTTAAATTTATTTTTAATTGGAAGATAATGGCTTTACAATATTGTGTTGATTTCTGCCGTACATCAGCATGAATCAGCCACAGGTATGGTTTTTAAAACTTCTGTTCCTGGTCAATTTTCTGCCCATCTCAGAGAATTTTGATTCTGCTACTCCTCATAAAAATGATGATGAAAAATAAGAAATTCTGAGTCACTCTTTTTGTTTTGTGGGATTTTAATTTTCCATAGTGAACAAGAGAGTCAGAGTAGACAGAAGAGGGGAGGGTGGGATGACTAACCACCCAGACCAGCTAGAGGGTGGAGCAAATATTGTGAGTGCATGCAGGTGGAATGGGGGGGGGGAGGGCGGAGCTGAGAGGATGTCATCGGGAGGAGAGAGCAGTCCGCAGGGCAAGGTGAGGAGTGGGAGGTGCAGAAGCTGCCAGAAAGTTTTCTTTAAATAAAGGAGAAAACAGCAGCTATTTCTCCTCAGACAAAACCATTTAGTCTGGGCAGCTTCCAGCGTAAGCAGCTTCTTGTTGTTCGGTCGCTAAATCATGTCCAGCTCTTTGCGATCCCGTGGACTGCAGCACACCAGGCCTCCCTGTCCTTCACTATCTCCCAGAGTTTGCGCAAATTCAGCAGCTTATCTTTGCTTAGTTGGCCTTTTTTAAAAAGAAAAAAAAAAAACATATTTTCTCAATTTCCTTTCTCAGTTTTGACTAGTCTTCTTTACTTGGGATTATGCCAGTAGGTACTATCATCCCAATATCTAAAAATCAATCAATTTCTAAGAATTGATTATCTATCTGTATTAAAAGATTCAAAATTCTCAATCCATATGCAGTGCTAATAAGGAGTTCCTGTAATAGTCCTGAGAGTTAGTTCTCACAAGACCAACCGATTTATAAAAATTTCACTTCCCTTAAAGATACAGAACATCAAATTGGCATTGGTCAATCTAATATGTCTAATAATCTAATACACATTCATTTGGCTCTGATTTAACTTTTGAAAACAGCAGGATTTTCCTTTCTGTATTTTCCTTTTATCGTGTAGCTTTTTAAAATGACATAAATCTGTAATCTCAAAGTGTCATAAATAGGATATACTTTAACTAATTAGTTTTAACATTATTATTAACATTACTAAATGTTAATGGGCTGTTGAGACCTTTCACTAGATACTGGACTTAACGACAATTTTCATGGGTAAGGACCACACCTGTAATAATAATATTTTATACATAGAAATAAGTCAATATTTAGTCATTATTTACTTATTTATGTTTAAACATTGAACCATATGCCCTGATGATCTATTTTTCCCATTAAATACCACTTGATTTCAAATGTAATCTTTTATAAACCAGTAGCCCAGATAATACAGAGATTAATTCTCGTATCATTAGAAATGGTTTTTCAGGAAAGGATTAAGAAAGGTAACAAAAGAGAGGGAACATATTCTTCATTTTCCTAGTTGACTTCTCTCAGTAATCTTCCTTTTAATTGATAGGCATGTATTCACCTCTAGTAAATACATCCAAATTCTAATGCTTCTCCATGACCCTTCCACACTAAAGTAGAAATAAGTACACCATAGAGATTGGCCATAGCCTAGATCCTTGGCCAACTTAAAGTTAAGTTAGTCATAAGTTGTCATTTTGTGATATGTCAAGAGCATGCGGACATAGATTTCAATCCCAGACCGGGTGTGTTCTAAATAATGCAACTTGAATCTATAATTAGCCTCTTTGAACTTCTAGTTTTTTATTTGTAATAATAATAATTCCCATTGTTATCAATTTGTTGTGAGTGTAGAACTTAACAGAGAATTCACGCAGCATAAATTAGAAGCTGTTAAATTAACACTTGTCGGCAGCAGCAACAGTAGGACTGGCAGCAGCAGTATCACCATTATTATTTTCATGCTGCACTGACCAGACTATGATGTTCCCAAACTTCATAATAAATGATTATTTTCTAAGCGAATTATCTCATAAGGGGATTAAAACCTTCCGAGGGGGGTTAAAGAGACCACGTATTCGGTGTTTGTTCTTTGTAGATTTTCTTATATCCTTACTCTTAAAGAAACTATTTTTTAAATCCCTATCTTAAATCCCCTATCTTAAGAAATATGGACACACACTTTTTTGTTGGTGGTGGTAGAGTTTTAGAATGTTGGTGCATTTATGAAAAAGCTATTATCACTTTAAAAAATTAAAAAGGAAAGATACACACATTCTAAAACAAGAATTCTGAGAAAAATTCTAAATACCTTTTTAATTATGAAGAGAACTTATAGATCCATCTTGAAAACTCCAAAGTTTCAGGACTAAAATCATGTTAAATTAACATTTAAACATTAGGAATGACCCAAAGATGTTTTTTGAAGGTGACTGCTTTCACGGATAAACCAACTGGAATGTCATATAAACTGCTCTTTCAATGACTAATCAGCACTTGAATTTTTCAAACTGGAATCTTTCAAATTTTCAAGTTTTAAGATACAACTCAGGGATAATAAAGAATAATAAAAGACATATAATAATAGGTACCACCTGTTAAAGAAAATACTATTAAGCACTTTTCATGTGTTCCTGCTTTAATCCCTATGAGCAACACTATGGAGAGACACTATGGACATTTTACAGATGGGAAAATTGAGACTGAGATCCAGGCAAGTGGCTTGGTCTGTTTCTTTCCATTAAGTCACGCAGTTTCCACTTTTTACAACTATCTGTTTGGCTCCATGCTAATTAACCCCTTCTTTTTCTAGTAAATGCCCGTTTATGACTGAGGGAAAAGTGTAATTTGAATATCTGAATTCCGGATGCTCCCTCTCCCTCGATGTCCATGCTCCGTTAGAACAGAAAGTCAGCTGACACATAGATTGGGAGCAGAGAGTCTGCGGAAGACATACTAAACATCAGCCATTAGTCTTTTAAAAGCTGCACTCCTGTGTCCATATACATTGGCCATTGCCTTCTAGTCTACTTTAAAATTTTCAGAAGGATGGTTATAGGAAGTTATTCTGAAAAGGTGGCCCTCCATCTTGGATGTTTTTAATTTACCATTAAAGATCCCTCCCAAATTAAAATTGGTGATTATAAGTCTCCACGAGTTATCCTATAATTTCAGCTTTATTTCCAGTATTATCTCCTATCTTTGGTCTCAGCGCTAACAGCTTGAGTTCCAGTAACGCACAGCCTTCCCACGTTCCCCGAAGCCCACCATTTGTGTATTTCTTCATATTGACAGAACTGTTTTTGAGTGGGTTTTTGTGGTGGTTTGTTGTTTTTTGTTTGATTTTTGTAATCCTCTTCGTGATCTCATCACATGTATTAAACTAAATCCCAAGTGACAGCAGGGAAAACAAATCAGTAAATTATATTCTCTTATTCTGAAAGTCTTTCTCTTTTGATTAGCCCTGTAAGTTCATAGAAAGCTATCCTTTAGGTAAGTGTATACATATCTCTCTGCAGACTTTAAGGGCAAAGTTTCATTTTGTTTTAATTCAAGAATAATTATCAAGGGGGCTTATATAAGCAGTATGTACAAGACTTATGTAACTTACATAAGCGGTAGGTACCAAAATCTTGTAATTCTGTAGTTCAAAATAATGAACTCTGGGAAAGTGTAGTTCATTATTTGCTTAAATGTTTTTTGCTGCTGTGGTTTTAACTGTTACTTGCAGCAGTACCACATCATCAGTGACCATTTCCCAGCTATGTTATAAAGCCCGATGAGTAGGAAATGGGCTTCTGCTGAAGCACCACTCCTCATAGAATGTTTCTTACAAAACTGCACTGGATCTTCCAGCAATGGCAGATGATCTGCCTTACATATCAAAATGATAGGTTACCCATATACAGTGCTACCACCGGCGTGTCATTACTTTACACAGTTACCAGGCAGCCTTTCCTGCTCCGGTAGAGAGAAAACAAAAATGGTCCATGAGCAACTCCCCAGATGCTTTGGGACCTTCCCCATCAAGTGATAAGCTCCATCTAGAAGTTGCTAATGTGTATGATCAATAGGTCTCAGGCCTGCAATCTCAGTTGCTCACTTCTATGAGAGTGACTTTTTAGGTTGTTAGCTTCAAGAACATCCAGTTTGCCAGAGCATATAGACAAGTGTCTGCTGGCCTTTTTGCTTTTCAGAATATGAAGTTATATCCAGAGAAAATGGATCATTCAGTGGGAAGAACAAGTCCATTCAAACAACAAATCAAACCTTCTCCACAGTAGAAAATCTAAAACCAGACACAAGGTAAGCCACCAGTGCTATTACAGGTGAATTCCGAGAGTGTAAAAATCATAACAAAGGAGTGAAATGACATCATCCTTCTCCATTCGAAGGGAGGGTCTAGATTGCATTTCATTCTTTGGTTTTCTGTACACAGCACTAGAGACTCCTAGAGTCATGATTTGCAAATATGTAACTGACTGGTGGGGATACAAGAAGTGACAAGTTGGTCTTGTAAGTTAACATTAGAGCTGGGGACACGGAGAGGTGGAAGGCCATTAATATCAAACATTGATATTAAATACCAAAGTTTAGAGGAGGAAAAGTCTACAGACCAGAGAAAACTGGAGTATGGATGGTATAAACTAGATTTGAAGCACGTAAAGTTGGCTGGTGTGCCGGAAGAGGAGGGCAGGGAAACAAAAGCCACGTGACAAATGTAGATAAACATTTGTTTATCTACAAATGCTTAAAATAGTTGATGCTTAAAATAGTTACAGACTAGTCTCAGACACAGCGTTCCTTTGCTTTGGGGTCTTCTTATTATAGACCAATGAGGATAGATTTGTTTAAATGGGCATATATTAATTGTTCAATAATAACTTTTGTTGGCATCCCTTATTACACATTGATACCAGGTTGTTTATCTTGCTGTATAGTTTTGTGATTCCTTTTTAAATCTAAAACATGTAATAATTTATCAGTTTATTTTATTGTTGCAAGAAAAATAAGAGCCTTAGACATTTCTAAAAATGTAGTAGGGAAGGGGGTTTTGGTCTTGTGTTTGTTTTACATGGCTAAGTCATCAAATGTAAATGGATATAGCCAAGTACTGCCTTAATAAAGCCAAAGTGCTAAACTTATATCTGGACTAAATTTCACTCTGTAGGAAATCACTTTCTTCCCTCAGACTCCAAAACACCATTTGATAAACTGTCCCTGCTTTCCGTATAAAACAACAACAAAAAAGAAATCCTGACATCTTAAGTTATAGTACACCAGGCAAACAGATCAATTTTCCAGACTGAGGAGTTTTTCAAGAATGAGTATTTCATAACCTGATGAAGATCCTCCATGTTGAAAAAGATCAGCGATGGTGAAACCTGAAACGTCAGCATCAGAGCTTTTTTTTTTTTGGTCATATTTTACTTCTCGTATCTCTCATTGTCATCTGACTGAATTGAATTGGGTGTTAGCGTGACACCAGAAGAGCCTGTTTGGCTCTGACAGCAGGGAGACTCCTGATCTTTTCAGGGGAAAAGGAAGCATCTAATTCATTAGAGATATTCTGCTGTATATTAACTATAGTCCTATACTGCAAGAGTAACATCTTTCCACAAGTGTGGGGTTTTTTCCCTTAAAGTTCTCTATTTTGACTCATAATATGGAAAATTTTGTAAATGTTAATTTTCCTAAAGAGATTGAAAGTGAAGTCGCTCAGTTGGCTCCGACTCTTTGTGACCCCACGGACTGACTATACCCTACCAGGCTCCTCCATCCATGGGATTTTCCAGGCAAGAATACTGGAGTGGGTTGCCATTTTGGTTGGCCAAAATTAGCATGTATCTCAGTAAAAGCCCATTTGATGATCTTGGTTCTGCTTCCTTAGCCAGATTAACAGGGAGAAGGCCTATTTTTTACCATAATGCATTTTAACAAAACAGTAAAAGAGTAAAGGTCATTTAATTTGGACTTTTTAATAGGTGGACTTGGACTTATAGAACTTGCTTTTTATTCCACTTTAAAAAAAGTGAGCCATGTAGTACACAGAAGGTATACTGAAGGGCATCCGATTTCTAAGTGTTCATTGTGTTTTGTTTCTGAATCAGGCTGTTCCCAGGTTTCACAGTGCACCTATTAGCTCATGAGCAGAGGTAGAACACAGTTACGCCAGGGACATTTGAAACAGAACTTGTTTGTGAAAGGTTTGCGTCTGCATTCAGCTAACATTTCCCTGGTGCCAGTGATGTAGTCAGCCCTGTGCCTGGTATTGTGCCCACACACAGGGGTAAACACCCGGCCTGCCTTTGAGGAGCTCCAGGCCAGTGGGGCAGATCGCTGCTGGCCGATTACTGCACACACGGTGCCCAGAGTTCAGGTAGAAGTCTGCACCAGAGGCGGTGGGAGCCCAAAGTGGGTGGCGTGTCACAAAGCCTGGGGAATGAAAGGAAAGGCAAACTTCCTGGAGACGGTGACACCTGGACTGAGGCGTGATGAACAGACAGGAGCCAGTCAGGTGACTGCGGCAAGAGCAAGGAAGGTCAGAGCGAAGCGCGCGTGTCAGCACAGAGGCCGGACATGGTGTGGTTGTGCGTGGTGAAGAGCAGGCTGTTTTCACCAGTGTGAGGGGCGGAACGTGGAGAGAAGTGGAAGCAAAGAGAAGCAGAAGCCAAGTTAGGGAGGGCCTTCCGTGCCAGATCTTGGCTCAGATGGTAAAGAATCTGCCTGGAATGTGAGAGACCCAGGTTCAGTCCCTGGGTCTGGAAGATCCCCTGGAGAAGGGAGTGGCAGCCCACTGCAGTATTCTTGCCTGGAGGATCCTGTGGACAGAGGAGCCTGGCGGGCCACAGTCCATAGGATCGCAAAGAGCTGCCCGTGACTGATGACTCAGCACCCTCACTTTTTGATGCCAGATCAGGAGATGTGGTCAAGTGGTGGGGAGACCTTGAAGCATGGGAATTGGGGAGTAACTTGCTCTGATTTTCATTTTAGCTTGCCTTCTGACTCTTCTTTATTTAGAATAATCAATTTTGATACTAAAGCTACCTGTAATGAGTAGTTGGTAGAACACATCTAACTACAAAGAACTTTTTGTTCATTTCTTGCGAGAGTACCACTGTGGCATCTGATCGAATTGGTCAAATGGGGACATAAGAGAGAAGTGCCTTAGGGCTGAGCTGGATTTCACTCTGGAATCACAGGACCTGTCAAGTCATGAGGTTCATGTCTAGTTCCCAGTTATAACTGCTGTGGGACTCACGCTGCTTGTTCTTGGAGTTTGCCTTGGACTCAGATGCCACCTCTCACCTTTATCCCACTGTTGTCGCCTGTGTCCTGCTTGTCTCCTGTCCACCGTCGATATGCCTTTTAAGGAGGACCCCTGCGACCTCTATGTGCCCAACTTAGGTAAAATACAAGCAGTCCTCAAAGTCACCACTGAGAGTGAGGCTGCAGCAGGCACAATAAAATTGCAAGTTCCGCAATTTGGGCTTGTTGGCTCTTTTGTTACAAACTTTTTTCATATTGTCTCAGGTGGTAAAGGCAAGGTTCCTTACCACTGTATCTTCTCTGCCCCAATCATGACCCAAGATCGATGCAAATAAGAGACACCCTGTAAAATAAAGAGGAAGTATGTACAGGATGCAGTTAATAGGTGGTTTTTATTAGCTATAAAGAATGACTTTAATCACTTCATCCCTTGTGGAAAATTCTGAGTCAAAATATACAGTAAATTCCTCACATAGGCCAACTCTGAATGATAGCTGTTAAAATTCCTCCATGAGCTTCTGGAATTCCCTATTTGAAAAGCTGGAAGATAATAACTTCTGAAAGAATATCTATAGCTTTGTTCCTATTCTAAGAGACACATGTAAAGAACTGGTTTTTAGTCACCTTTTCCATCATTTGTCCTGATTAAATAACAGGAGCTTTAAAAACAGGTCATAATTACTGGCTAATCGTTAAACAGTGACATGGGTGGGTAAAGGTTGGTGTTAGAACATCTAACCTGAATAATCAAGGCAGAGAAAAGAGATCTACAGAGGCTTTGGGGTTAAAAATTCTAAATGTTCACACACTACTCTAGAACCAAAAAGTCAACGATGCTACCTTCTCCCGCCTGTGTTTAATGATGTAGCCAGGTTGTTATTTACTCTGGACAAGCTTGAAAACTAATCCACAGTAAGAGACTTCAGTCTAGGCATTAAAGTGGAATACAGGTAGCAATGTCTTGTAAACTGTAAATCTGATGGAATGGCCATTACGGCTGGGTCCACCAGCTGCTCTCCTGCCCCTGGCAGAATTCGGCGGCTCAGCGGCGAGCAGTGTTGCTGTCTCTGGACCGCAGAGCTGCCGGGCGGCCCTGGGGAACCCGGCGCAGCTCCCAAGCATCACAGTGAGGACAGGCCCAGCCTCGCTGGCGGCTGCTCGCAGCGGGGGTGGCCGGTGTACGGAGGGCAGAGGCGCTGCTTGCGGGAAGGCAGGAGCGCTGAAGTCAAGTGACAGGATCTATGAACAGAGATGAACAGCTGCAGCACAATTCCAGCTCTTTCTCTGGAGGATCCCCCTCTTCCACTCTCCACCCCTAAAATACAAAGACAATGCAGAGATGCTGGGGTCCACTGAAACAGTACCCATCTGGCCCACTATCCAATACTGATTTTCCCCATGAAGCTTCATTGTGTGCCTCTCGTTGAACTAAAAGAAAGTATTGAGAAGAGCCTTTGCTGCCTATAGCCAACTTCTTTGTTTGCAAAGACCACTAGGGTTATGTTTAGTTCCATGAACAGAAGAAATGAGAAAGTATGTGACTTAAAAAATGAGTGCTGCACCACTGCTTAAAGGGACAAGAACTGTGAGCACCTGACCTTAAAGTCTCTCCCAGATCTAAAATAACCTAATCTTAATGCTATCTGAAACCATCACAGGATAAAAGGGAGATCTGGAACTGAAAATAAAACCAAAACCTGGGTCTGTCTTACAGTGAGCAGGTGTGTCCTGATAAACCATTTTTGCTTTGAATCTATGTCTGTGGTCTGCAATTTCTTTTCAGACAAGTTATTTTCAGCACACATTTTGGTAATCCATTGACAGGCCAGGCTTTTGATGAACTAGTTGGGGAATGTGGATTTACACACAATCACTGTCCGCTGATAGAGCCCTTGTATCTCACTCGTCTCTTCGTATAAGCCCATGTCTCTCCCCGCTTGGCTAAGAAACTGAAGAATTCTCTGTGTGTGCCAGACATACATGTGGTCCAGCAATTTCCTATGGAAAATGCACTCTGTCTGGTAATTAAGATAAAT